ATGGTCAAAATCGATCAATCGCAACTTTAGTATATCTCAAACTAACGGGCAGCTTTTAAGAGTTACGCGTATTCGACCCGTGGTTGACTTGATATCAATCCACGTTTAAGCTTTCTCGAGCCATGGATGATCTCGGTTGTCATGTAATTACGAGGGGCCAATCACTAGTTCCGAAGTACACAATCATTAGAAATTGGTCTAAGGTTGTTCGCAATCCATACAATAGTCAGGCGGAATCACCCGCAATCCGATTGTATACTATTGGCAAAACATTCTATAACCATTCCTTGATCAATCTATAATGGCTCAAAATTGTCCCTCGTTAATCCTCATGATCGAATTGTCAATCCATGGTCGAGTTCTTAAGTCATACGTACTTAATTCCTTAATAACATTTCTCTCATGGTTAATCTCTCGTGAGTGATCAATTCGGAGCGAGATTTAACTAACAATGCATCGATAAATAATCACTTCATTATATCCCGAATATGGTCGAAATTTGAGGATATTACAGAATTGGCAAAAATGCAATAGGTTTAGGATTTTTTGGACAATTTTCCCCCGGCGTCGATGATCCCGCAGTCGACGAGTCGTTCTCCAAAATCTACACAGCACCTAGCTTGCAAAAGCAATGGTACAATGGTAATTTCCTAGCCCTTTAATGATACGGTAGTTTAGGCGAGGCAAGATCAACTAATTCCTAGCCATACATTGATAAGGCAAGATCAACTAATTCCTAGCCCTACATTGATACAAAATCAATACGGCATGATTATTGCAATGGAAAAAAGAAAACCTGTCTAACATAGTAAGCTATCAAGAAAGGATATCTGGTTATTGTGTGAGTTCTTCCAAACATGAAGGCGGAGCGACTTAAGATTGCCCTAATGGAAAGGTTGGACTGAACTGGCAAAGAGATGAAGAGATTTCCACAACCGAATATAGAACCGTGTCAGAACATACCACAGCAGCCTATCTTTGGGAATCAGCAACCCGAGCTCCTTTCCAGAGACAAAACTTTGGCCAGAATTATGGTCAGAATTTGATTCCTGAGAACCCGTGATGGGCCAAGTAACTCAGCCTACAATCCCTGTAAACCAGGAGTCTTCGGCCAACTTAATCGAAGAGTTTTCAAACTGCTAAGCCTATTCGTGTGCGTATCGATCACTGATTCGCATCGATACTATTTTTTGTCTTTTTTTGGTGCATGCAGTTTTGGGCAACCATGACTATAGGGGTGATGTTGAGGCACAACTTAGCCCCATCCTCAGAGCACTGGACAGCAGATGGCTCTGCTCGAGATCTTTCATTGTCAATGCCGGTAAGCCAAAACAATGGATTTTAGTTGTTTACTGCTAGATGTATGCATACATCATTCCATTAATAGTGTTCACGAAAACACTTACTGTTTTTCTCCCTCGAAATGAAGCATGTGTAGGTTCATATACTCAAAGCTTTTGTAATTTTATGATTTACAGTATCTAATGTGCTGATCAGATCTCCTTAATTACCTTCTGTATGAGCAGAAAGTGCGGACATCTTGTTTGTGGACACGAACCCTTTTGTTGATGAGTACTTCACAAAGCCAGGAGGCTATAACTATGACTGGAGAGGAGTCTTGCCCAGAGAAATATATCTCTCCAATCTCCTTAAGGTACAAATCATCCATTTGGCCCTTATGCAGATGTATCCTACATACAAAGTGTCATGATCATGAGAGCATAAATCAAAATCAGTAATCAAGAAGGTCCCGATCCGATCTCAACTCAGTGTCGCAATGGTTGATATAGGATGTGGATTCAGCTTTGAAAGAATCGAGCGCAAAATGGAAGAATGTGGTGGGACACCATCCCATCAAAAGTGCTGGATTCCATGGGAACACTGACGAGTTGGTAAAGCAGCTTCTTCCAATCCTTGAGGTAATGCCACTTCCTTTGGAAAACCACCATGATAAGATTTCTAAGTCCTCGACAACACAGCTTTTCTGGGTATCTTTCACGATGTTCTATTTTCAGGAGAATAATGCCGATCTGTACATTAATGGCCATGATCATTGCTTGGAGCACATATTAACTGCGGACAGGTAATACTTCCCTTATCATCTTAAAGAGACCAAAGACATCAATTTTCCCCTTAGAGGGAATATAAAAGGGAAAAAAAAAAAACAAAGGGAAATTTAGGTCAAAAGACCGTGTGAAATGTGGAGTGATTATTCTATTTGATGATTTGCAAGACTGAGTAGAGACATAGCAGTCCAATTTTTCCATGTCGAAAATCATTTAGGAATTTGTCCACCCTTAGTATTACTAATGGAAAATGAAACTTAATCATTGTGCTATTGAATAAAGCAAGATTCGATATCTATCTCGAATCTTACAAAAGTTAAAAAGAAAAGGGATTCTGTTAACGAGTGTTCTCGAGACACTGATTAAGCATATTTTATTTGATATAGTTCGATTTTCAAGATACTGATTATGCAAGACCCAAAAGCCATCAATGCATTGTAAATTGTAAAGTTTCTCTTAATTTAGTTTTAACGAGCACTTTGTCAACAAAAGCCACAATAATTGGGCAACTTTAATGCAGCCCAATCCAATTTTTGACGAGCGGCGGTGGGTCGAACGCGTGGAGGGGGGTGATGAATTGGCCGACACATCCGGAGGAGGTCAAGTTCTATTACGACGGGCAAGGCTTCATGTCCGTGAGGATCACTCCGGCCCAAGTCGACATCGTGTTCTACGACGTTTCTGGCAGCGTTTTGCACACTTGGAGCAGGACCAAGGAAATTTTCTCCATCGTGTAGAGAAAGATTATGATTTCTGCTTGATATTTGTGTGAAGATTTTAATAATAATCTTTTGGTAAACAATCGTCTGTAAGTCCATTGGTTTCTCTAATTTTGTTGACCTTATGTTGGTTCAATTTCAGACGCCGATCAAAAGATCACTCTGATTTCATGCTGTTATAACAACTCTTTCGAAAATTATGATTGCCGATTTTGTTATGACGAAGAGATTAGCGTTGCTGTTAGATAGAAAGTAGAAACTGCCCACAGCTTCCGGACAGGAAAATTGTCCACAAAATCATAAAGTTATTGCATTTTGGCCAATTAAATTCTAAACCTTTCAATTTTGACAATTGAGTCCTAAACTTTTTCGCGTTTTTGCCTTAAGTCCATCCGGCCAATTTTAATCGGAAATTTCTAATGTGGAAGCTGGTAGTGTCACGTAGAACGGTCGACGCTAACATGAACAATCTTTTTTCTTTTTCTTTCTTTATTATTTATTTATTTTCTTTTTTTCCTATCAAATCCGGCGAGGGTTGTCAACCGACCACAGGCGAGTTGTCGGCCATCGGCGGTCACGGCCCTCACCTGTGACCGGCGAGGGTTGGTCGGTGACCCTCGCTGGGCTTGGAAAAAAAATAGAAAGAAAAAGGAAAGAAAAAAAGAAGGAAAAAATAAAATAAAAACTTATAAAAATTATACACGTCAGCGCTGGTCGTGACACGTTGGACGGCCAGCATCCACGTTAGCGACTTCTGGCTAAAATTGGCCGGATGGACTCAATTGGCAAAACGTGACAAAGTTTGTGACTGAATTGGCCAAAATGTAATAAGTTTAGGATTTTTTGAACAATTTTCCCACTTTCGAAAGTATGCGTGCTTGCAAAAAAATATTTTCTATGCGTTGGACTTTTAAACCCGTCCGAGTGGCTCATTAGTAAATAAGAGCAATATATGGCTCCTGCTAATATGGAATTTAAGAATGTGTCATGCTGTTCACTAATTATCTATATTTAAGTCCCCGTCGATATCGTCTTCACCTTGTCAACCGTAGTTTGACAAGAGTTACTTAAGGGACCTAGCTAGTCTCAGGCGACCAAGAGATTGCCCGGTCTCAGGCGATCTCCCATCTGAGGTTGCGACCTCATATAGGAGGTCATAACCTCATTTGCGAGGGCAAGTAAAGAGAGAGAAGAGAGAGAAGATGTTAGATCAAGGTTCTTTCTAGAGTAAATTTCTCTAAAGATAGGGACATTTTGCTTAGTTTTAAGATAATTGGACCATATATATATAGTTATCCCTAACTACAGAGAATCATGAAAATGACATAAATGGTCCATCAACTTTGGTCCATCGTATAATGTTGTCCATAGACTTTTAATTTATCCAATATGATCCATAAACTATTGGTAAATGTTCAATATAGTCCTTCAATTTGTTTATACGACAAATAAGACGTTATTTAATGATGCAAATTATTATACGCAGGGTTGGATCTTCAAAAATGATGAGTCAACATGCCCATCTTTGTCTTTATCTAATTTTAAAAAAGAAAAGAAAAATGCCGATCATTATTTAATGACGTGGATTATACCATCATAATTTGAGATGAATATTTTACTTGGATAATCCACGCGTAACTTGTTTTTTGTTGTCCACCATCCAAATTTAACATATCAGAAGCCACGTCAGCAGATACCGTTAATTTGAACTAACAGAGGTACGACACTATACATTTTTACAAAGTTTAGGTATTAAATTGAACATTTATTTAGAGTTCAGGGGCCGTATTAAACAAATTAAAAGTTTAAGGACGACGTTGCACATTAAACCAATATTCATGAACCATTCATGTCATTTTCCCCCAATAAATCCATTTCCTTTATAACATAGTTTAGATGTGCTTCCATGAATATCTGGTCGCGGCATTCGTGTTCGTTGGCCTTGACTTTCCCCCCACGGAGAAGCCAAAAACACCTGTCGTCCTCGAGAAAAACTTCTTTGGAGATATTCTTTCCCTCGGATGACCACGCAACACATCCAAAGCCAATTTAGCATATTCCAATCTCAAATTCAAACGCTAACAGGTGACACACGACCTAAGCACGTCCTCAAAGCCAGCCACATGTGACATTGTTTTAGTTTCCCCCATCCGACGTTGTTCTTCTCAACAAGCTACCTATCATTGTCAACCCCACTCCCATCCAATCCCAAGCTATCTTCTCATCATCAAACACCGCCCCCCAACAAAGCTATATAAAGCCCTAATCAAGAACCGTATAAGCTATCAGCCTCAAGAAAGTCATTCGAGTCCTCCCTCTATTCGTTTTCCCCTCCGTTTATTTCTCATCCGATCTTGGATTGCTTCGAGCTTTGAACACGTTTCCGTGACGAAACGAGAGGATGGATGAAGGCGGGTATCGCCTTCTCTTCTTGGGCGGCTTGTTGTTATGGCTATGCATGGCGCCGCCGTCCATGTCGGAGCTGCAGCGGCTCCACCACCGCGTCAAACCCGACGGGACTCTGAGCTTCCTGATGGTCGGCGATTGGGGGAGAGAAGGGAACTACAACCAATCTCAAGTTGCTTCCCAGGTTTTCGCGTACAACCCTCCTTTTTTCTTTTGTTAATTGCATGAATGATGATGATTTCTTTAGCGTTTCTCGACGTTGGAACCTCATTGTCATCGAAACTTGCGGGAAAGCTCTCATTTCCTCCTACAAGTTCACACTAATACTTAGGGCCCGGTCCTTCATAAGCCGTACCGATTAAAATTCATACTAATGGATGATGTCATATATAGTGTCCCTGAAACATCTTGTCTGCGTGGTTGTATGTCTTAGATTGGACACCCATCGATTTTTTCTATGAAATGATCGGTGTTGCGATCCATATATTTCCCTTAACCAATGTATACTTGTGTTCAAGCGAAATCATTTCTTTTGCATTTGAGACAAGTGGGTCGAAAACTTTTTTAAGTTTATGCAATTGAAAACGAAACTTCCTATTACAACATGCAATCGCGTCCTAAACATTTTCATTGACGCAATCAAACCCTATATACGTTGAAAAGTATAATAAAGTCGCAAACATATACCAATAAATGGAATTTAAGGCCATCGCGTAAGCAACTATCAAAAGATGAAAGAATTCGATGATAAGTTGTGGATAAGATTTAGGACTTCCAAGTTCTCAATTACTTTGCTCTTCCTACTTTCCACTAAGCTAATAACATTCATAAAATTCAAGTGATGATGAATGGTAACCATACACACATGTTACTTGATAAATGCCATTTTTTCAAAAATGAAAATCCATTTCTTCTGATGCACTCTCTTTGTCTTTTTCTTTTCTTGAAAAAAGGTCAATTGATCCTGATGGAAACCTAACCAGCAAGTCACATATGAGTTGACAAATCGCACCAGTTACGTAAGCAAGTGAATTTCGTAACCTCCCAATGTCATAATAAAGAACCCGATTCCAATACCCAAAAAAAAAAAAAAAAGAACCCGATTCCCTAGGACACGTTCTTGCATTCCTCGTCACACATTTTATGAGCGTGCTGCAAGATTACTTAGGCATGCGGACGAATGTTTCTTTTTAATCACGAATACAGTCGATGCTTTCTTGTCGGTCGCAAGTTCTTAACCTAGTTGTCATCAACACGTTTAGTTGTTCATAGCCAATGAAAGCGAAAAGCAAAGGCACCAACCAAAGGGTCTTCTTGTCTGGGATTCTATTAATATGTGGGTGTAATGTCACGATGACTCGACTCAACCACTTGCTTTACGCTATTCATATTCTCTCTCGCATCAGCAAAGCATAATTCTATGGATATTCCATTTTGAGATTTCTAACTTACGTTAGGAATCAATGCCACGCTCCCATTAAGAAAAAGACTACTATATTTTATCTACTTACGATACATTGAGTAGTTATCCGGGGCATTGGACAGATGGGTACCTTGCTCGTACGAACTTTTAGATTATGATAAATTGATGTGAGATTCGCCAAAAGTCAATTGTTGAGATGTGCCTTAGTTGAGATGTGCCTTAGTATGTATAAATAAGAATAGTGACCCTTGTGATCCCTGTGTTTACGGTGATGAAATTGTCTGTGTTAATCATGTTGAGCCTCGAGAATTTTTATTATTTGTCGGAAATATCTGTTGCACAAACTACAAGTGGAATATTGAATAATCCTAATTGAGATATTTTTAAAACTCTGAAATTCTCCTATTTAATTACTAAAGCACATAAGGAAGCGATTGTGAAAAAGTGATTGACTTACCGCATCTCGTTGTCGATGGAAATGTTAGATGGATTACTTTGTGGCACGAGTAACCTCGCGCTTTACTGTTTTTTTCTCATGAATTATAATGCTATTGTTGAGAAATTCACCTTTTGTTTAGCCTTCAAAATCAAGCTGAGAGTATAGAAAATCACAAGCAATCGATTGTTACCTTAATTCTTGTGTTTCCTCACTGATTATCGTAGATGGGAGTGATCGGAGCGAAGCTGGACATAGACTTTGTGATCTCCACCGGCGACAACTTCTACGAAGACGGACTGACCGGAGAAGACGACCCCGCGTTTTCCAAGTCGTTCACCGACATCTACACCGCCCCGAGCTTGCAGAAGCCGTGGTACAATGGTAAATCTCGAACCACTGAAATTAATCATAACTATGTACAAATCTTAATCCTTCAAGTTAGATCATCTAATAAATTAAAAGGACTAAGCAAAACTTTTTAGGGATTTGATGATAAATTCCGGTAAAGGGTAGGTTTTTTGAAATTTTAATTTTAATGATCTTGTTCTCGTGGTACGCACAGTTTTGGGCAACCACGATTATAGGGGCGATGTTGAGGCCCAATTAAGCCCCATCCTAAGGGAAAAGGACAGCAAGTGGGTTTGCTTCAGGTCTTTTGTCCTAGACGCAGGTAATTACCATCCTTAATCTTGTAAACATCTACCTTAGCTAAATTCGGGATGAGTAATTTGATCATTCCTCATGCATTCACGTGTCTAAGGCATGGAAATTAAGAAAGAAAGCAAAATAATAAATAAATAAGGGAAGGCCATAATCGTGTAGACAGATTTTCTCTTATGTTTGCTTTTCGATTAGAAGTGATTGACTAGGGTGATTACGATAGAAATCGTGGAATTCTTCTTCGTGGACACGACGCCGTTCGTCGATCAGTACTTCACAGACCCTGGAGAGCACAAGTATGATTGGAGTGGCGTTGAGCCGAGGGACGAGTACCTGTCCAACCTCCTGAAGGTACGTAGCTTCGATTTAGCATATATTTTCAGAACATACTTAAGTGGAACTAACATATTTTATAATCGCACATGATATTCCAAAGCAACAAAATGTAAACATGTTCCATATTTCCACCCCCCCACCCCCCAAAATGACTGCAATAGGATGTGGATTCAGCTCTAAAGCACTCCTCAGCAAAATGGAAAATCGTGGTTGGGCACCGCACCATAAAAAGCGTGAGTGAACATGGCGTCACCGTTGAGCTCGTGCAGCATCTCGTCCCCATCCTTGAGGTCATTCCTTAAAATTCTCATTTTCAAGATCGATATGATCCCTGAACATTGGTCAAATATGTAACGTGACCTCTGAATTTTTAATTTGTTCTATCTAATCCCTAAACTTTTGATAAATATTTAATCTAGTCCATGGGTAATATGAAGATATCTATTATTATCCTTCATATAGCCCGAGGACTAAATTGAATACATACCAAAAATTCGAATATCACATTGAACAAATTAAAAGTTCAGGAAACACATTACATTGCACATTGAGATAAAGTTCAAATATTATATTACATATTTAACCAAAATTCGGGAACTATTTATGTAATAATTCCAAATTATTTATATGCACCCACTTAAACATTTGTTCCACGTCAGCTATATCCTACGATAATATCTCGATTACTTATATTTTCCTCTTTTTTGGGGGGACTCAGGCCAATAATGTTGACCTTTACGTGAATGGGCATGACCATTGCTTGGAGCACATCACTAGCACAGACAGGTATAGTTTTCTACGGTTTTGGCATTAGCTTTTTTTCTCATCTTCCCTCGTCAATGATATTAAAAAGAATGCGTTTTCTTGAAAAAAAAATTCAGCGAAATTCAATATATTACGAGCGGAGGCGGGTCAAAGGCGTGGAGGGGCGTGATAAGGCCGTGGAAGCCGGAGGAGATGAAGTTCTTTTACGATGGGCAAGGCTTCTTGTCCGTGAACATGACTGGAGACCGAGCCGATCTCGTCTTCTACGACGTCTTCGGACAAGTCTTGCACAAATGGTCCATCTCCAAACAGCTCCACGCCGCTGCTGTCGAAAAATTATACTCGAAGCTCTAATTATAGCAAGAAATTACCACACACAGAGAGAGAAGAAAGTTCTATGGTTAGTATAGCAAGAAAAAAAGTGTCTCCATAGACGAGATCGGATCTCGTTGGGCATTATGTTCATGAAGCAGCCGAGACACACGAATATGTTTTAGAACATGCTGTAAGTCGACTTTGATGCAGATAAAAAGTACATGTATTACGATATGATGCATAAGGAAAAAGAAGTTACCGGTCAAGAAGTTTATCTCTCCCTAATCTCCCTTGCTAAAGTTGAACTGAACATCAGCTCTCGTAATTTTACTGCTCTTGTTTCTGCAAATGTTACATGGCTAGTGACTTGAAGGGACCAGCTGCTAGTGGCGGCTAGAATGGGGAAGATGACTTACACTTCCTTTCGAGTTTGGGCTGGGAAGTGACGCGACGAGCAGTGCAAATTATCGACTGCAATCGGGGCAAATAAACGGGTCGATGCCTTCCAATCGGATCCATGCCATCCATAAGCGTGGAATCCAAGTGTGGCTCGTCATGAAATCCGCAGCAACCAACAGTGTCGACATTGTTAGACTTGCTTCTTAAGGGGAATTTAAGCTTATGAAATGCAGAGGCATATGACAATGAATCCTAATTCAAAGCTCGTCAAATGAGACGTCGAAGATTGACTGATGATTTCTCCAGTAAGGTAAGCTCCTAAGTAAATCCTTGTGAAGCTCATTTGCGTAATCTCTCCACGCGTCAACAGCAGCAGAAAAGCTGGCCCAACGAAATACTTCAGGTGTCCCACACCCATCACAGCTCATACACCCGAATGTCGTCTGCGCCAACCGTCGATCCTGTAAGAATGTGGATTCCAAGTCACTTGCATTCTGGCTTTGTGATTGGGACAGTGGGATCACCTTTCCTTCCTCCAATATAGGGGCGCGTCGCTGCAACTCAGAAGCTTTCCACGAGTAATACTGCCCCACCTGAGCAGGAAAAGCAATGACTTGGATACTTAAAGTACTGATCACATCACCACCAAAATTTAAAAGGAATGTTCATATAGCAAAAAAACCAGACCTTATTTAGAGATCTCTGAATGATGAAACATAGAAAGATTACTAAACAGAACTCTTAAGACCCCCATACCTCATGCACTTGGCAAGTAAGTTATCTTTAGAGAATTTGTGTATTATCTAAAAGCTATCCATCTAGGTTGAGTGAATACTAAACAGGGTAGACAAATTTTACTCCATATCTAAGAATTTGTTCCAACATTTGACAATAGATCCCGAACTATAAAACAAAACAAAGCAAAAAAGTTGAGAATACCTGCAGCGCGTGCAACACATTTTCAAATTCCTGGTTAAACATCTCATTATTCCTTGTTAACTGCAGTGGTTTCATCAAAAGATCAAACACGTCCAAGAAGTTCATCTTGTCCTCCAAAGCACAAATACCAAATCCCAGAGCATAAATTCTTGCACAGCATATGTTGATCGATGAATCAATGTCAGAAGATTGATCTGGTGAAAACCGGTACATATTACTGGATGCTGGCAAGGGTAAGTTGGAGCCAGGAACATCAGTCACCTCGGTTGAGAAAATCTCTGAGAGACGAGAGACAAGTTTGGCATCCTCATCATGAGAACCATCACGGCTAAACCATAGTGTAAGAGTAAGTCTTTCCCCATCGATGATCTGTCAAGAAATGAAGTAATTAGCACTAGAGCAAGAGGCTGCGATATATGTATCGTAAACACACTAATGCGACAAGGTGGCGGCCTAGACCAATGAAATTGCTAGTGTTGCACACCCATTGTCCCAGAATCCCATATCACCTTAATCATACCTTTAAGACTCAATTGTCAACTAGCGGGTGCTTTGAGGCTAGGTCCACGCGAATTCGAACCTAAGTTGTATCAATAGCCAGATCTATAGACATTTTCATTACTTGCAAATTGCAACTACTAGAAAAGCAAGATGCATTTGTTTGAGCAGCCTCAAAGAGGGTGAACCAAGTTATTCCTCTCTAAAAGAGTAAGCTATACCTTCTGTCCGCCAGGCCCCCACTCAAAAATCATGGAAATAGTGAATTGCTTACATGAGCAAACGCATCAATGTCAAAGCATTTAAGATCAATCTTAACATCCTCATGATGTCATCAATTCCTAATTTCCCCAGTAACCTTATAAGAGGTCAGAGCAGATATCCGGGCCTGCGTGCACAGCTGTGTGTGAATGTGTGCGCCCACTGACGCACAGGGAGAGAGAGTCATAGTCGTCTGAACTTACCTCATCAACAGAATGTACATTTCGGTTGTCAGCAGTGTATATCAGAACATCCTGACCAAATACAAGGATTCAATTCAATCAAGCTTGCTGAATAGCTCAACCAGAGACACACTTGTGAATTTTTATATCCACAAACGGCAAAGAAAACCAACGTACAATTTTATGAACACTAATTATCAAAATCAGATTCATACCATTTAAGCCCCATACTATCATATTTAGCTCAAGTACTTAATAAGAGACACAGAATCATAATCAGTCATTATTATCATGCCTTTGAATTAATCTATTGATTATGAGAAAACTTTTATAGTTGTAATTCCGTACTTTTTTGTCTAAACCACCATATATCATAACCTAGAGAAAACTCAACCATTTTCAACTACCTCGTCAATACTTTATTGTTCAAATAATTAAAATTCATGACTCCTTTCTAATCAGCAAACTCAAATATCATCATACATGACTCCACTGACCAAAAACATAGTTGATATACCACTTGAAGAAACTACAGAGATATACTTACGCCAGCAGAAGGTTTAACAGTTGTGGGTTCACCGTCCTGGAAATGGAATAGCCCACCTCTAAAATCCTTCCCATAGCTATTCAAATAACAAACTGCCTTTGGCCACCATAACGACAAAGACTCTCAGCAAAGTGAGCTAGAAACGCGAGAACCTTACAAGATAGGCAAAACAGTACCAAATCTACAAATTCATAAAACCATTTGGAACTTGAAAAGAACAAGCAAAACGTAATAGTATCAAGGAAATCAAAATTCAATGTATGAAGGATGAGTTATATTATTGACAAGCAGTGTGTTACCGCAAAGTCTCTCTGTTTCAGATAGGGCCTGTTATCATCACTATGCCATCCAATGCTCGCTCCTTTAGTCCAGCTGTTTCAAAAGTACAGAATTGCATATGTATCAATGAGAAGATCGAAGTGTCTACAAAACTAGGGGAAGGTACAGGAAATGCAATGGTATAAATTACGAGAAGCAAATTGCAGTTCAGAGGACATCTCACAATCTCAACTTAAAAGAGTTGAAATCCCCCCACACAATCTCGACTCACAAGAGTTGAAATCCCCCCACCCCAGTGTAGTCAAAAGCGTTTCAAGCACACACCTAGGTGAGGCCAAGCAATGAGATTCCTCTTCTTGAGTGTCAAAGTGATGCACCTTCGATTGGGCGCATGCCTTTAACGCCTAAGGTATACAGTACAAGGTCCAATAGCACTTGCCGATAAAATTCTAGGTAAGTTAAACCGCTGCTACCTTTCTTACACTGAGTTATAGCGCCTAGCTTTGCTTGGGCGCATGCTATTTCTGTGCTTCACCACTCATGCGCTTTTTAGGACTTAGTGCCTTAAGTGCACCATTCGCCTTTGACTATACTGCCCCACCCTGCCCCCATTGGTGAAAATTGAAACAAACAAACTGCACAAACACAAATAAGCGCCTGCATGCTTTGTTTTTTTGGTCGGAAGCGCCTGCATGCTTAAGCAGGCACAAAAGTGCAGAGAGAGACAGACAGAGACAGATACCATTGTCAATACGAAGATCCATAACGTATCATCAATCTTATATTGGAAGATATGATGTTTGAATGAGCACCTCAGAAATTCATCTTTAGAAATTAAGCTTGCAATACATGCCCATGTCTTCTCACCAGGCTCTAGCCCCATAAGTCAAAAAACAAAAAATCATATTATCTTCATCTCCTATTGAAAGTCCACAGAAGGCTTCCAGGTTGAGAGGGATCACTACATCCAAAGTAATTTTAGAACGCATTCTTCCTAGGAACGTAGCAACAAACAAGATCTGTTGCACAATTACTCTAGAATTAGAGAAGTATCCTCATAAGCACTACTTTATATTAAACTTCAATTTAGCAGAAGCATCTTTTTATGCACCAAAATTTTTGCTTATATAATATGCAAAGTTATTTGAGCTTGATCAAGCTCACCAGTAGTGGTTGCACAGACAAAGTGTCAACATATCCAACACTGAGTAGAAGAAGTGCTATGAATGTTCGATACTACAAGAAAGACAACAAGGACCCAATTACGAAACACAAAGCTACAAAGATAAGCACCTTCAGTTTCTTCCACTTCAAAGAAAATAAAAGAACAAGCTAGGACAGGCCAGAAAGAAAGTAACCAGTAACAGTTCATTAGAGAAGTGAAACATGCTATATTGCTACAAGAAGTCCACAATCTCAGAAAAGGTTGATAGATTTGCTCCTCAGTCGAATTACATCATCAAAACGTGAAAAACACTTAGCAGTTCATGTTGTGTTCATGCTCCGCAAAAGCAAAATTAACAGAAACAAATTTGAATTATGGCAAAAGCAGTTAAAGTAAATAAGTGAACAGATGATAAGAGGAGACCTGACAAGACCAGTAAATTCGATACAGAGCTCATACTCACATGCAAAGAATTCCTCCACCTTCTCTTTCAGTTTTTCTGACATGAAGAAATGAAGCAGACATTTCAGGATCAAATCGAAAGCTACACTAATTATAGAAAAAATCATAAATTTGTTCTCCGATTCTGTCAGTCACGTCAAGCAACAGAAAAAGAGTAATGCTTTGCTCATGATCCACAAGTATCCGAATGAGAATTACTCTCTCTCTCGAACAATATATATGATCTTCCGACACATTTAAGCTCGATTTATCAAAGCTACTCCAAAACCACTCCATCCCGCTGTCAAAACAGAAGCTATCCAAGAGCACGCCAAACTATGAAAATCAGAGGCCATTGGACTAAGTTACCATGGAATCAAACCACAACCCATGACCCAAGTTCAAAACTTTGATTTACCCAGCAAAGAAAAGGTCCAATAATTGCTCTCACCGCTCTCGAGAAAAACAAAAGAAAAGAAAAGGGTCCATCTTCCACGCCTTGATTTCACCCAACAAAGGATCAAACTAACAAAGTGAGAAGAGAAATCATACCTCGGATGAGCACAAGGGGCATGATCAAGTGGGCCGAGTTCGTAGCGATGAGATGAGAGAGGGTGGTGGAGAAGACGCACGGCCTGTACCCAACCGTGCTGCAGCTCTTGTGAATGAACTCCAGCTCCTGCGGGATAAAAAAACAAAACACCACCACCCATTTGAGCCCGCACAAACACGGTGACATGAACGTGAATGCGAAGGTTTGACGAGACTCTACAGACCTTGCACTGCTCCAGAGAGAGGAAGTTGCGGAGCAGGAGACGAGGGTTCTGCTGTCGATCTGCCGCCATCCTCCTTTCGTTCCCGGGACCCCCTCTTCCCCAAGCAAAGCGCCTCGTACGAGACGGACTCAGCTGCGTTTCCGGTAACTGCTAATTCATTCAGAAAAATGAAGGGAAAAGAATTATTTATACTTTTGTGCTCTGTTTGTTTTACAAAAAAAAAAATAATACTTTTATGCTCTGTTTGTTTTACCATAAAAAACTAATTATTTTAAAATATATATATTCGAATCGCTTACAAAAATTAATAAATAAAAAAATATTTCAAGCAATATAAACAATCATTTTTAAAAAAAAAAATTTCTAATCACTTATTTTCTGCAAAACAAACGGAGTCAAGTGCGTTTGTTTCATGGAAAATGAATTTAATTTGATCGTTTGTGTTTCTTAAAATAATTAATCAATGAAAAATATTTTCGTAAACGGTGAAAACATTCTTTGCTCATTCATTTTTTTAAATGAAAATGACATGATCATTTTTTATAAATATTTTTCAAATCATTCATTTTCTGCGAAATAAACAGAGCATTGGTACTTTTAGTTTTTCTATCCAAATGAATTTGGGTCACAAGGTGGATTAGGTGTTTTTCATGAGATAAAAATGAAAAACTTAATTTTTGAGTAAATATATATTGATCACCATTTTAAAATTTTGAGATAATAACACAAACAGTCCATGAACTTTGGCTCAATATGTAACGTGGTCCCTAAAATTTAGCCTAATGTTCAATATGGTTCTTGAACTTTTGATTTATTCAATGTAGTCCCTGAACTTTTGGGACATGTTCAATATAGTCCCTCAACTATATGAAAATGTTTAATGTAGTCATTTCATTAATTCAAGTTCAGGGACTATATTAAATATTTTCATATAGTTTAGGGACCTAAATTGAAAATATACCAAAAATTCATTGACGATATTAAACAAATTAAAAATTTATGGACCATATTGCACATTGGATCAAAGTTCAGGATCACATTAAATAAATTAAAAATTCAAGGACTACATTACATATTCGGCTAAATTAAAAATTCAAGAACCACGTTGCATATTCAATCCAAATTTACGGAATGTTTGTGTTATTTTCCCTAAAAATTTTAGTACCTGTCATTTCTTTTAGAAAAAGGGAAGTTCAAAAGGGTCTCTTTCGAGTGTTGGCAAGGCGACCCGTTTGGCTTCCTTCTCAGTTCGGCATCCACTGCCTGTTGCCGCCACCAGTTCTTGCTTGGCACGAAGTTTCGCCAGCAAAATGGAAATTTCCCGTTAGCAATTTGATGTCGGTGGACAGTTTTGTTCACTCGCATGTGGGGTTCGTGTTTCGTGAATTCTTTGTCGGGCAATGGAATGGTGGTCACGACATGTTTGCGAGGCTACAGAGCTTGTGCATGATGAGCGCATGCTCTTTAATTGAGGGGCCTTGTTGTTGTCTTGCCCGTGTGCAGTTAGTTCCATGTGGAGATGGCGCATGGATCGCATGGTCGGAACAAATGTTTCTCCTCATTTGAGCATTGTCCACATGCATATGATATGTTTGCTGGAATTCCAGAATGACGCGAGCTACTGAAAAAAGGTGTTGAATGCTTGTCTCTCGCTATTTCCTCCTGCTCCAACAATGTGCGCGGCGCAACGCTCCGAAAATTGCCAAGAAGCTTCACGCCCAGTTGCTCAAGAACGGCCTTCGCGGATATGGCCCTTTGCCCAACACTCTCCTGGATGCATATGGCAAATGTGGTCTCCCTGGAGATGCTTTCTCGCTGTTCGAGGAAATGCCCCGCAGGGACCAAGTCTCTTGGGCCTCAATCCTCACGGCATACAATCAAGCTAACCTCCCTCGCCGAACTCTCTCCGTCTTCCGCGCCGTGCTTGCGGATGATGGGTTGCGGCCGGATCATTTTGTGTACGCCAGCCTAGTTAAGGCTTGCGCTAGCTTGGGCGGCATCATGCTCGGCCGGCAAGTTCATGCCAGCTTTTTGCTATCCCCTTTTCGTGCGGACGACGTGACAAAGTCATCGCTAGTTGATATGTATGCGAAATGTGGATCACCAGATGATGCTCGTGCCGTTTTTGATTCAATCCTAGTGAAGAATGCAGTTTCTTGGACTGCTATGATTTCTGCATACTCTAGGAGTGGGCTAAAGTCAGATGCTATGGCAATCTTTCAAAGTGCACCCGCAAGAACTTTGTTTTCCTGGACTGCATTGATTTCCGGGTTGGTTCAGAGTGGGAATAATGTTGACGCGTTTCACTTATTTATCGACATGAGAAGAGAAGGTGTTGACATCGTAGACCCGTTGGTTCTTTCTAGTATTGTCGGTGCTTGTGCTAATTTAGCTATGTTGGCACTTGGAAAGCAGATTCATGGTCTTGTTGTAGTTCTTGGATATGAATCTTGCCTGTTTATCGATAATGCACTCATTGATACGTATGCCAAGTGTAGCGATATTCTTGGTGCAAAGGATATATTTAATGGGATGAACCACAGAGATGTAGTATCTTGGACTTCAATAATCGTGGGTACTGCTCAGCATGGGAAAGCTGAGGAAGCATTGGAATTGTTTGATAAAATGGTTTCTACTGGAGTAAAGCCAAACGAAGTTACTTTTGTTGGATTGATCTATGCATGTAGCCATGTTGGATTAGTTAAGAGAGGTCGCAGTCTTTTCAATTCAATGATCAAGGATTATGGTATCACTCCTTCCTTGCAACATTACACTTGCTTACTGGATCTTCTTAGCCGTTCCGGGCATCTTGACGAGGCAGAGAACCTTATCAATCAAATGCCATTTCAACCTGATGAACCTACATGGGCAGCTATTCTTAGTGCTTGCAAACAACATGGCAAGACTGAAATGGCAGTTAGAATTGCTGACGGTCTTTTAAGCCTAAAGCCAGAAGATCCTTCGTCGTACATACTTCTGTCCAATATCTACGCTCGTGCTGCTATGTGGGATAAGGTTGCCAAGATCAGAAAGACGATGGTGTTAATGGAAGTAAGAAAGGAGCCGGGATATAGTTGTATTGACATTGGGAAAGAAAATCAAGTATTCTATGCAGGGGAGACAACTCATCCAATGAAAGATGAGATATTTTGCTTGCTCAAAGAATTGGACGCAGAGATGAGAAGGAGAGGTTATGTTCCGGACACTAGCTCGGTATTACATGACATGGAGCAGCAAGAGAAGGAGAAACAACTTTTCTGGCACAGCGAGAGGTTGGCTGTCGCATATGGGCTGCTAAAATCAGTTCCCGGGACTGTCATTAGAATAGTGAAAAATCTTCGTGTCTGTGGAGATTGCCATACTGTACTGAAATTCATCAGTGTTATCGTCAAGCGAGACATTGTCGTTCGAGATGCCAATCGTTATCACCATTTCAAAGGAGGGACTTGTTCGTGCAATGATTTCTGGTAGTCATCTTAGATACGAGTGAGAAAATCCTCCTATGTCCCTGAATTGATCTTTTGGAGAAGCAATTCTCATATTGTTCGGCCATGCAGGACCTAATTTTGAGGCAAATACTTCTTGGTGGGACGTTTGATGTAATCAGTACACAGAATGTCTTCTTATTTGAAAACTACTTTCTCTTAGATAACTCCATGGGTTTGTCTTACATTTGTAATAGCAATCTTCTCCTATAGATTTGCCTGCACATGGTAAACGATTGTCAATGGTTTCACTGTAACAAATCGATTGGTAAGAAGCAAGTGAAACTCTCTTACTTCCATTGGAACTAAATTAAAGGAAAAGTTATATTTTCGCTTGTGTATTTTACTCTATTCTTATCAAGTTCTTGTAGTTCCAATTTTTCTAATCAAGTTCTCTTTCTTACACAAAATGTCTAATCAAGTCTCTCCCAGCGCCATATTCGGCCAAATTCAGCTGATGTAACTATTCAGAATATGACGTGGATCAAATATTGCTTACATGAACACCTATCATGGCCGTTGAGAACTCCATTGCAAAGCTTCGTTCCCCCTATTTTTATTTATGTTTTTATTCCCTCGCTTATTCAGTATTCGCGATGCATGTTCATGTAGGTAATAATTGGTCAATGTCACATTTTGACATCTTCCGACGGTCATTCCGTCGGTTTTGGTGCCAAAGGGACTTGCATTTTGGGCAAATAGAAGGACCCAATCAGCAAAATTGTAGATAGAGGAACTTGATTGAAAAATTAATGAATGTACAGCAACGTTTTTCTAAAAACAAACACTATCTTCTTCATGCGAGCCCCTATCAGTCCAAGAATTCAAGACGCCTACGGCGTGGCTTATGCGATTCCCGTCCACGTTGGTCTGCTAATTCAAAAGTTCAAGTTCAATCAATCTGACTTTTCCTTATTGCTTCGCGATCCGGACTTGTTTTTTATCATGCAAATTGCCAAATTTCATTATAAAAAAAGGTTTCAAAGGGGTGGTGGCGGCGTGGGAGTCAAAAATCATCTTATTGAGTGTTGATGCTTGATTGATGGGCAAAACTTTTTCTCGTCTTTTTGCTTTCAGCAAACTCTATGTTTGATCAGGCGGCTCTTTTGCCCAATGTTTTTTGTCTTTTCGCTTTATTCTCCTTTTGACTTTCACCATTCGGTAACTAATATTGTATTTCAAGGAGTGCATTTACAGTTGCTCCAACTTTTGGTTTGAGCACGCCTTTGTAGAGGTGGTCTTTCGAGGAGGTTTAGGTCCCAATTCCCCAGAGTCCTCCCTCTTTTTTCTCTTTCTCACCTGTCTGATTTTCCTTCTCAATTTTTCGGTTTAGCCCTTAATTTTTTTCTAGTTGGAGAGATAGAGAGAGCAAAGAAAAGGGGGAAAAAAGAGGGTGGTTCAGCAACTTGCATTTTCTCTTCTTTAGTGTGAGGATAAGTCATACCTTGCTTCCTAACCACTAAATGGAAGTGAAGCTTTCATACAGCTGTTTAGATTTCTCTACTCTTCTTATCTTCTTGCTTGTCTCATTCGAAATGATCTCTTAATCAGGAACTTCTTATCTTCTTGCTTGTCTCATTCGAAATGATCTCTTAATCAGGAACTTAATGTGCCATATCTAGCACGATCAATCGAACGACGGAAGCTATAACATCTTATTCTGGGTAGTTCTGTTGCTCAGAGGCATAAGCTGTTAAGTCATGAGCGCCAATATACGCTTGAATGCCATGAATTTGCAAATTCACTCTCCCTCCGGTTCCTTCTTTCCTCACTCGCTATCTCTCTCGCCCCTTTTTTGTCGCACAGTCCTCCATGATTGCACTAAATTTGTCACCATAAAGTTATAATTATCCAGTTGATTCTCTTCAAGCCTTTCGTTTCATACAAACACCGGGAAAAAAGAACACAAAAAGAAGCAAAAGCAGAAAGAAAATAATGATATCCATTATCCTTTCAAGAGCAGACTTAAATCCAGCCAAAGCTTTCTGCAACAAACGAAGGGACTAAAACCTGCCAATTGCAGCACTTTGTGTCTTTCACCACCTGTTCTGCCCTCTTAAATAGGCCTTTGGATTCTCATTTCCGGTTCCGTTGACAAATATGTCCCGACACCACCTTGTTTGAGTTTGACAAAAAAGTATCATGAAACAGAGCCCAGACGGGCCCCGCACTTTTGACATTTAATGGAACGCAGAGCTTTTGATCATGATGAGCCCCTCTTTCCCTCTCTCTCCTCTTCATCTGACTAATTGAATGGAATCAAGAGTATAGAATAAGGGACACACCATGGCCACCCACCACCATAAACAAAGATTCTGCAAACCCAATTTATTAGTGTCCACATATAATAACACATAAACACATACCTAACCCAGGACAAAAGGTATATTTATTTGGAAACCACCCATGAGGTGTCACAGAGACCAGTACAAATCTTCAAATTCAGCCAAAAAAAACGGGAAAATACAAGTCCATATATGAGATGACAAAATGGCTGGAAACTCTATTGGTATCATGACCTATACACATACCCCCCCCCCCCCCACCCAAGAACCCATATGAATTCAATGATGAATCTGTGTGCCCCTTCACTCCCCCCTTCTCTCTTCCTCTATTTATCTTTCTATTCACAGGCAAAAAAAAAAAAAAAGACTTGACCAGGCATGATAAACAAACTGTAGGTAAAATGTAGTGGAAATAAGCCATGAATCGCATGGTATGGTGACCAGATAAATGCTGCAAGTGGTGAATGGAAATTTATCTCTCACAGAGAGGCGTCCGCTCGGCTTGTCCGGCTCTGGCGGTGATGCTTGGGACGGTGGTGCCTGCCATCTCCAAATGTGACGGGGTCAAAAGCCCGGAGATGCTCGGCTTCTCTTGGGTTGATCACGCACTCGGGTGGTGGGACTTTGTACCGAGCCCGGTCATAGCAGTACGAATAAGTCATGTGCTTCTTCCGGAAATACTCCATCTTCGTCCTCTGTCTGGGACTGATGCCCTGGGGGATAGCCTTATGAGTTGGGACATCATCACAGCTCGATTGGTGCTCAATCGGGTCAACTGCGCAGCCGTGCAGGACGAGATCGGAGAACTTGGCAACGTAGGGGGCATACTTGTAGTTCACCCGGTATTTTCCGCCATTTGTGGCCCAATTAGAGCCATCCCAGATTGTGGCATACAAAGACATCGGTTTAGAGGGGAATTGGCCTCCCATGGCCTCTGTTCTCTTAACTTCTCTGATTGGTACATTGTCCACATAAAATCTACAAGAGAGAAAAAAGCGGTGAGAGTTTAATCATAATCAAAACATAGTAACAAGCGGTATAGACTGTCCTCTTATAAGGATGTTTTCATCCATTCATCTCACGATTTCTAGCACAGATGTTATAGTTAGCTTAAACTCTGGCATAACTAAAACTTAAACAGAATTTAGATGTACCAAACCCTTCTTCCTCGTAAAATAACATGTGAACAGAATCTCAAAGATGAAATCCTGCGTTGGGTTACAGAGCTAGTATCTAACTTCCACTTAGCTGAATAAAGGTACAATCTTTTTAGGCAAGCCAAAAATTTACAGCTCATAATTTCCACAGTGGTAGTTAATCCATCTCAATCAAATGTAACATTTACCCTTTGCAGACAAAGAGAAAGAAGAAGGGGCCCAAACATCCATTTAACTCGTCTTAATTACTGAAAAGAGCTTTCATAGATGTTAGTCCACCAAACATTAACAGTATCGCCATGATAAAACGAAGACATGGTAAAAAGAATTGAAGCAACAGTAACAACAATAAAAGCCTTGGCGTTGTAGTAAAAGGAGGGGATGGTCAAGATAAACGTGACCCCCCCGACCATCCTCATGGGGCTCGGCAAGAGACACCGATCTTAATACACAATGTTCCTTAAGGAAGTGACCATCCCCTAGCCTCATTGACAGTACAGCAGAAAAATAACAGAGCACTGAGCACTTATTCAAAGACTTCTCAGGAGACCAGCAAATTCAATAGAGGTAACGATATATTCCACAAAAGTGACCAAATGGATATGCAAAAGAAGCACAATGAATCGCAAGGTAAACCAGAGAACGCTATGCTCTTATCGTGGTGGAATTGAAACTTACATGATCTGAGAGTCGGTCCACAGGATGCCGTACTGATGGAAGTCATCGGCAGGATCGAACCAGAGGCCATATCTCTCTTCCCGGCCGATGCCGGTGCTTCCATCGCCATAGATATTAGTCTGAATCCTCCAATCTTTTCCCCGAATGTTACCCAGGAACTCGAAATCAATCTCATCGTGGTTCTTCTCGAACATATCGCCATTAGACATCTGGGCAATCAAACAGCAAACAAGTTATCGATCACCAGAGCCGAAATTCGCAAAACTACTCAGCAGAAGAATCTCCTCCAGTCAAGCAGAACCAAATATGTGATCAAAAGTGAAGAACTTGCAAAAGAAAAAATTGCAGGTCATCATTCTCAAAATACTCCTGGAAATACAGATACTCAACAGTAGCGAAATATTTTCAGGTAATTTGTCAAATGAATGGCCTTTAGAACTGAACTTGATCGCCCAAGAAGGATCAAATATTTCCATGGAAGAAACACCGAGCACCCATCACCAATATACAACCGATACATACTACGATCAAACATGAAAACACCATCAAAAAATTGCAACAGAAAAAGACTTGAGGAGCAGAGATCACTCACGTAGAAAGCAACCACAACTCCGGCAGTGTAATCCGAAGGCAACTTAATGGAAGCACTGAAGAAGCCATGCAGATAAAGATCCTGAGACGCAAACCCAGACCCTGCAACAAATCAAATTTAAAAAAAAAAAAACAAACAAACAAGCAAACAAAGAAATCCAAAAAGGGTCCTCAATCAACAGAGCCCCGACGAAAAAAGACACCTTGAATCCTTAACATTCAAAGATTAAACGGGAACAGACTGAGGAAGACATTAAATACGGCACCTGTGCGTTCGTCTAGGGAGAGATGGACTGCTTTGCCATCCCCGTGAAGAGCGAGATTGTTGTCCCCGAAAAGCTGGGTGTAACCTTCATCGAAGGAAATGATGGGCAAGTTCGTGGACGACCCAGAAGCCAGAACAAGAAGGACGGCACACCAAGTCAAGAACAAGCCCAGATGGGGGGGCAACATGTTTTTCTTTCCTTCTTCCTTCCTCCTTCTTCTTGCCCTCTGTGGAAATATGTCGTTATATATATGGTGGGGAAATGTGTAAGCGAGTAATGAAGAAGAAGAAGAGAGCGACTCTGAGAAAGAGAGAGGGAATCTCTCTCTAATACTGATACAGGACAGCTAGGAGCGAAAGAGAGAGACAGAGAGACATGGAGAGAGAGAGAGAGAGAGAGAGAGAGAGAGAACAAGAAAGGCTTAAATGAAAGGAAGACGAAAGGAGGTCGTTTTTAAGGAGAAGAGAAGAGAGAGAGAGAGACAGAGAGCGAAGGAGAGGCGTTTCTTGTGCTATGCTCTGCTTTTGGGCTGAGGTTGAGCTGGTGTTATGTGGACAGGTCTCTGGAGAAAAGTAATCGCTTCAATTCATTGATTTGCTGATTTGATCTCTCTTTAATATGCATATAATATTACATGTGTCTTCTTCTTTGCCATGATGATGATGATGATGATGATATCTTCTTCTTCTTCTATAAATCTCTCAAATTTTGAGTGGTTACTGTTTGTTATTCTCTCCTTCTTTTCTTCTGGCTACAAATATGGAGCTTCTTTTGGTCTCTCTCTCTCTCTCCTTCTGCAAATCAGTGTCACAAGTGGGGAGAGAGCCTTGGAGGAAGCGAGAGTACTGCTTAAGATTTTCTTCGTTCTTTTCTTTTGGGTGGTTTGAAATCAACCACAAGGACAAGTGTATAGAGGCGTCGTTAAGCCCGAGGTCTCTTTTAACACCCGACCATGAGGCCATCAAAATTAGTTGAACGCTCGAAGAATCTCGAACATATTATTATTAAGGTAGAGAAACATAATTAAAATCAGCTAATCGAGCGCTTACGTAATGTCAAACCTCACTTTTCATTTAATCAAACTATGAACTTGAAAGAAAAATTTATACTGATCTTCACATACCCAGGCTTAATTTTTTTCGCAGAAAATGGAAAATTTGGATAACATTTTCCTATAAAATATCACTTTTATCGCTAGAAATAATCAATCAATAGAAAATATTTTCATTATCAAGAACAATTTATTTATAAATATTTTCGTAGACGTCGTTCATTTTTTGAAAGAGATACAAGCGATTGTTTTAAGGGATATGTTTTCCGAATCATTCATTTTCCACGTAACAAATGGAGCCGTGGAAGAAATTTCCTACTTCGAATTTCTTTTTCTCTTTATAATTATGATGAATGTACTGTGATTAGCTTCCAAGCATGGAATGCCAAATAAATAGTAATGATGCGGTTTATCTTTTACATTATGCAAAAATCACGAAAAGCACTAGAGTTTCTAGAACGGGAACAAACTTTGATAAAAAAAAGAGAGACAACATCAATAGGGGATTCGATGCTTTGGTAAACTTCTTAAGATATCCTAGGCACAAGAGTATGCAATTTGGCAATGCATTCCACGAGGTACTTGCCACTTACTACATTCACCAAAGTTTCCCGTCATTCGCACGCCGACTCGATCTAGCTGCACCGTTCGAGTTAAGCGGTCGGATGGCCGTGAACATTCCGATCCTCGCTCCAAGCAGGAGCTGAAAACCGTAAGAAAATTTGACCAATCAAAGCTAAATCGAGACGGGTCCGCATAGACTTCGGGTCTAAGCTAATTAGAAATTCGATCCATGAATTATTATCAAATAGCCTCCACGAAAAAATCATCGGTACCCGTGAACCAGGTGCCCACCTTTAGCTTCCAACCTTTGGTCCCAAGTGCAATGGCTTTGGGGCACTTTATAGCTCTCTCAAGACATCCAAATCGCTTAATTAATGAACGATAATGACAGTTGCTTGAAATTTTAGGCTTTGATGAAGACTTCGGGGAGGGTTAAAGAGAGCCACCACCACGACTCCTTCCCCCAAAAGAAAGGAACCCCCAAAAATAAAGTTGGAACGAGAAGTGATGGCGAAGGTATAAGGAGCACGAGATTAATCAATAACAAAAATTTTGCCGAAAAGAGTTAGAATTCATCGTGAAAAGGAAACAAATCGCGAAAAATTAAATTAAATTATGCCCGCTATAACACGTTTAACGTTAACATTTTTTTTTTGGAATAAAAAACTCAAAATTATGTCTAACATGATACATTTACCCTACACTAAATTTGTGCATATGTGACACATTTACCCTCCGTCGAGGTTCCGTTAGATGATTTTTCAGCTAAAATAGCGTCGTTTTTTATTTCGCTTAATGTAGACACCGTTTGCTTCTTAGCGTCCATGTAGACAGATTTTTAAAAGTTCTCATCGACATAGCTTTGATGAAAGGTAAATATGTCGCACAGATACAAGTTCGGGATTTTTTGGTGTCACTAGAAGTAAAAAAAAGTTTAGTGTAAATATGCCACGGCGGACATAATTCGCGATATTAAACTACAAAAGTGCCGGGAAATTCTTTGGGTAAGAAGATCGAAAAGACGATTCCCTCGTTGAAAAAACCGAACACGAAGAAGGAAAAAGATGATGAGAGGCCACATTTTTTTTTTATTTTACGTAACATCGACGTATCGTGCCACGATCAAAAGCGATGAAGGGAAATTCTTTGGTCTCGCGCGCGCTCTTTCTTCCGAGATTTCGCAAATTGCGTACAAAATTGACATTGCAAAAGTACCATCCTGTGCCTTGGCAAATCTTTGGGGGACTTCGTATTCGACTTGCGCGACCGTTTTGTCCCGAACATCTTTTCATTTTCTGCCGCAGGAAAATGTCGTAGTGAAGTTTGTGGGACTATGTTGGAGCGCCGCTCCTAAGCTTTTCCCCCCGTGAGTTAGGTGTTGCGATAAAAGGGCAACGTCTCGGCGAATTAATGAGCCGCTCGATCGACCTAGATGGCGTGTTTCTGGTCGATTCATGGCGATACCGGGGGGGGCGGAAAATCGCGATGAATAAATAAGATCGATATAGGAAATGCTCCGTGATTCGATGGATAAATTTGCATTCACGGGAGAGCGGCGACGAAAGTTACGTTAGGAAACAAACGGTAGGAAAGAACTCGCGGCCAAAGGTGGAGGACACGGCGAAACAAGGGGGGACGCTCTCGTCAACGGGCGTCTGACTTGGAGCGTTTTCTTCTAGAGTTTTCGAGAACGTCGGTCGCGTGGCGACCGACGACATTTTCTTTCTAACTTTGATCAATATAATCGACGATTGATTCAACGAACATTATTATCTTTTTTGGTATCAATACATACTTGTTCTTTATTTTATTTTATTTTTTTGGCTAAAACATCAATACATACTTACTCTGGAAACATGTACAAGGCCTCATACATTAGTTGGGTCCGGGCACGGTTCGAACGCATACTCGTACAGTTAATAGGGACGAGCTTCGGGATTCGAGCCGGGTGAGATCGAAACCCGCGGGCAACGGCAATGCGTCGCGTTCGCGGCGGCCAATGAGTTACATAGACCCTTTATCGTTCGGGCGATGCTAGGGACGGGAGCGCTTTCTCGACATTAGACCGCGGCAAAGGAAAATTGCCGACGTGCGGTATCATGTTGGACACATTTAATTCTCTTGGAGCGCCTAATTAAATTTCATTCGATCGGATAAAGGTTGAAAAAGGTACAAATCTTATGTTGGTGGGATTGTGGCTTGCGCTTTTGTCATTCATAGGTAAATTTCCCCTAATCCTAGTTGGGACCACCATCTTTCTTTGGCCCTCGTGAGGTTGATAGTGGAGCGGGGCGCCGTTTGCTACTTGAGCATCATGTCTATATTGTGAATTCCCGTGTATGGTTTTCAACAAAATGTGGAAGGAGACATTAATTTGGAAAAAGAGAGAACTAAAAGTTAAGGGATCGAGAGATAAAAATTCGTCTTTCAAATTTCGTATTTGTAATGCGCCGGTAAGCTAAGTACGTGCTCAAATAGTCCTATTTTGAGTAGTCGACTAAAAACTACCTTCCATATTTTCTATCGATACGTGAAGTGTCGGTCGTAGTCCCCTGACGAGGTAGAATTAATTTGGCCGATTTACTAGGCGGGTCCAAAATATAATGTGGAATATTATAAATGAGCAATTTTTCTTCCATATTCTAGGGGCACGAGCGCCAGCACTCGACCATTTGAAAACTCGCGGAACAATTTTGCTTATCTGGTGAACCGATTAAGTCCACGGCTTCGGTTTGTGGAAGCAGCCCCGTCCTAGATTAAAAATCGCACGTAATTAGTGGGATTTAAACAGGTGACTCGAGTTCCTCGACTGAATCGTGCTTTTCAACATTCACCTCAGAGTTTAAAGCATCATTTTAGATATCAATTTTATGAAATCCATCTCGATATATCAGGCGCGTCTCGATGAGCTGTGTGGATACATTACCCGTACTCGCTCGACGAATCCTTGCATTCCTTCGAAGCAAGGACCACAATAAGTGAATGCATGCTAACGAGCCTGAAGTCGGTGGGCAGATAGCCGGACGAAACGGTCGAATGACATTCGACAAGACCCGCCAAGTCGCGACGACACGACGGAAATTTCGCGGAATATGGATTTTTGGCCACGATGGAAAGAAAACGCAACCTACATTTGCCGGATTGAGATTGAAAGAGAAAGGCAAACGCAACATTTATACGACCGTTGAATTGGGTAGCGTTCGGACCAACCGAGGGAAGCACTAAAACAGAGGAATCCTCCCATGTTACATCCCTCGAGTCCTTTTCTCTTGTTTGGTCAGAGGAAAGTAAAACAAGTGTTTCCGTCCACGGAACGGTCCACTTTCGGGCAGGTCGTGGCAGGAAATTCTCGCGGGATCAAATCCTTTGCGGGGGGTGCTTTCGGGGTTTGGTTTTGACTTAAAATGGCAGAGAAGGACTTGGTCGTCCTGGCGATGTTGTCAGGGAGCCGTTGGTCGATTGTCGTTGCATCGTGTTCAGTGATTCAGAGCGTTGAAACCCAGGAAAAGGGGTAGTCCGCCATTGATGAAGTTCGTTCCGTCCACGTTTTCTACCTTGCTTATGTCCTGAAGGCCACTCGCTCTTAAAAGTGGGTGAAGGTTTTTGTTAGATCGAAAAAAGTAAGACGCGGGTCGAAACTCTCGAATGCATTACCTAATCCGGACGCGAAATGATCTGTGTTGGAAGGAGCGGGGAATCGATTGAGCATGTGTTGCGCATTTAATTCGTAGGCACGCGGCCGTGGTCCTGGATCGCGAAGTCAAGAAACACGAGCGCACGCGCTTCTCGGGATTA